CAGGAGGTTAGTTGGGAGATTAAACTATCTCACTATGACTCGTCCAGATATTGCTTTTGCAGTAAGTATGGTTGGCCAATTCATGTCCGCGCCCACAATCAAACATTGGGAGGCTTTGGAGCAGATCCTATGTTACTTAAAAGGAGCTCCTGGACTTGGCATATTATATAGCAACCACGGGCATTCCTGCATTGATTGTTTTGCAGATGCAGATTGGGCTGGATCCAAGATTGACAGAAGATCTACTACTGGCTACTGTGTATTTGTTGGTGGAAACTTGATATCATGGAGAAGTAAGTAACAGAATGTTGTATCTCGGTCCAGTGCAGAATCAGAGTATAGAGCTATGGCACAATCAACATGTGAGATAATGTGGATATACCATCTTTTAACTGAAATGGGGTTGAAGCATCCTACTCCATCAAAGCTCTGGTGTGACAATCAAGCTGCGCTCCATATTGCCTCAAATCCAGTGTATCATGAAAGAATCAAGCATATTGAAGTTGACTGTCATTTTATTCGTGAGAAAATTCAAGAGAACTTGATTTCCACTGCCTACGTGAAGACAAGAGAGCAACTAGCTGATTTGTTCACTAAAGCATTGAATGGTACTCGAATTAGTTACCTTCGTAACAAGCTGGGCATGATCAACATATATGCTCCAGCTTGAGGGGGAGTATTATAGAATGAATCTAGACACTTATTATAGGATGAATCTAGACACTTATTATAGAATGAATGTAGACTCTTTCTTGTACATAAATAGCAGATTTGTAGGAATCTCTTTTATTTCTTTCCTTGGTTAGCATCTGATGTACATGAATTTATATTGCTCACCTCTTGGAATGATAACACAAGTTATTCTTTCTATTTTGTTCACAATACTCATATGGCGGTGCAGTGCTTTTATGACGTGGACCTTTTAAGTAGGAAATGCTCCTTGATAGTAAGTTTCAGTTGCAAAAATTGTTCTTTCCAACTGTAGATGGTTATGTCTCTTGAGCTAGATATAGGCAGCAAAAATTGTGTAGGAAATGCTCCTCGATAGTAAGTTTCAGTTGCAAAAATTGTTCTTTCCAACTGTAGATGGTTGTCTCTTGAACTAGATATAGGCTGCAAGATTAGTATGGTTATGAATAACAGTTTGCAAAAAATTGCGAGACATATGATGTGAAATTTTTTGTCTCAGGTCATGAAAATAGTTAAAACCTTATTTTGAGATTCTTTATCAAGAGTCGGGACTACTGATGTTGGAGCTAGCAGAAGTAATCCTCGCTCTCTCTCTTCAACACGTACATAGGTGTGGCTAAGTTACAATTTTATTTTATTTTTGTCTAAGTGATAATTGGAATCAAATTAGAACCCCCTCCCTTCTCCCCTTCTCTCTCTCGACGCATACAAAAAAATAAAGCTATGTTACATTTTATGCGTGCATGACGTAATAAATCTGCATGTGTAGTGCAGGATCATCGTTAAAACTGAAAGCTCCAACCAGAGAAATGGAGCAGCCGTCCATTGCTCTGATATTTATATAGTCAGTGATGGTATATATTTGGGAACCATGGTCTTGTCTCTCTATCTATTATGTATAAACCAGATAAATTTGCAAGCATTTATTAGCATTTCACATATTTCTTGTGTCTGGCCATACTCCATAGGTTATATGGAACCTGATGTACATATGCGAGTTTACATAGAATGGGATAGACCTGCCCAATTTTGACTGGAGTCGCTGAATGATTGTTATTTATCACTGTCGTACTTGCAACAGGTGTCGTACTGTTGACCTGAACCTTTCACTGACTTTTGTAGTTTGTATGGTCCATCAAAGTGGGAGATTGTACAGAAATAGTGTGTATCTATGTCTCAATGAGTATTTTCGTGTTTCATTGCTGCAGAAATCAATAAATACAGTCCCTTTGTTCGACATTTTGTTCTTTTTCCCTGCCGCTGATCTATGCTAATTTGAGAATTGCAATATTCAGTCAGGCATGTCCATTGTCATCCATGTCAAAATAAATTTTATATACCATAGCCTGTATAAGCAGCACATAAAGCATCTCTAATTTCTCAATGATTTTTGTGGGCATTGATTTTTCTGTTTCCTGCGTGAAGGTACTCAATTACCAAGGCTTTCGGCGTTGCCTTCGTGTTAACATTCTTCAGTGCATTTGATGTGCCTGTCTTTTGGCCAATTCTCCTTTTCTATTGGATCGTGCTGTTCACACTTACAATGAGAAGACAAATACGACACATGATAAAATATAAATATGTGCCGTTCTCTTTTGGGAAGCAGGTTAAACCTTTCATATCTAAGTAAATTTCTCTTGATTTCGTCTTTGTTTTCATAATTATCCTTAGTGACTGAGAATTATGTTTTCATCCCTGTTCCCTCCACCCTTTCAGCGGTATGATGTGAAGACAGCAGTTTCATCAGAAAGTGAAAATCTTCTCCCTTAGACTGAAACATACAGGTCCTCAGCAGCTGCTTATTCTATGGAATGCATCATGCAGCTGCCGGTTATCTTTCTTTTCTGCTTCAATAGCCAAAGATTTTCTAGGATATTTACTGGAAGTGGAAGAAACTGTTAGGGAATTAGCGTCGAGGCGACGGTCGTTGCTTTGCTTCTGGGCATTGTTCCTATGTATTGAAATCTTAAATTTCCATGTGTGTAGCTTTCTGCAAATTATGCTTTACAAGGACCAATGTCATACAGTACCTTTGCTCAATGCTTTTTTTAGTTGTGTGCAGGCTTCTTCTGTGCCAGAAGCTTCTCTTTGAAGCAAATAAACATTTAACTGTAGTTAGTAAACAGTGAATCATTAAGATCGACAATGTTCCAGATGTAAGTTTCTAAGTATGGCAGAAACCATTTGAATCTTCACAATTACAAGTGCACACCAATTTGTATTTAGAGCACGGTCTGCCAAAGACCGTGGCACGCCAAAAAAAAAAAGGAGAGAAAACGAGAACTTTTCTGGTTTTCCATCGACCAGTTAAGTGTTTAAACACCAAAAAAGGAAATAATAATCCAAATAGCGGCGGAGCAAGGCGGTTGGGTTGTGGCCAGCGTATTGGCATATACAATTTATATTAGCTATTGTCCATTAATAGCAAAAATCAGTTTGAAGAATTGAGCGAGAACTACTGAGGTGGTCTGTAGTAGCCATAGACTCCATAAAACGTTTGTGCAAAGGTGAACATTATCAAAATAACAGCAGCAATGAAGGAGATAATTGCCCATGGGTTGTTGAAATACTTGTGCCTTAAAGTAGCACGCCAAGCATTCCACCTATGGTCATAGTACCTGTTAATTTGGTCAGATAACTGTGAAAGGTAACTGTCATTGATGTCGAAAACAACCTCTTGACAAAGCCGATTGAAGAGGTCAGCAACTTCCGCGTCATTACCAAGCCAATGCTCAATTATTCCACAATAATGGAGGTAACTAACATCCTCTGGGGAATCAATCAAATTGTCCAAGAAGATTACGTACGAAGTTATGTCATTGGTGCAGTCAAGATGGCATTGTTCAAAAGCAATCAGGTTGAGGAAAAGTGACTTTGTACCATCATGGATTAAAAGCCTAGGCATTTTGAGGATTCCATTCTGAAATTTCACATCCCAGAACCGATCAGTCTTCCTTTTCTTGAACTTAACCCCAGCGTCTTTTAGCTCCGAAACACAATGAATCAATTGCTGCCTGCGTTTGTCTGCAACCCGATTCGAATGTGACCAACGCTTGATCCACGTCCTAGGTGTTGGCTTAGGCCCTGTCTGCAAAAGGCTCCTCCTGAAAATAGAGGTGTCAAAATCAGCTCATTGTTCCAGCCCAATCGGTTCAAGTTTAAACCGGTGGTTATGACCTGTGTGTTGACCTAAAGGGATTGAACCCGAAATAACCATCATCAAAATATTGGGTAGTAACGGGTCAAATAGTGTAATGCAACGGGTCAAAATGTAATACAATCCAAAACTTACAAATCAAATTTGGAGATTGAAAATTATGTAATTTTTGAAAAACTTGAGCTAATCACTTGAGAAAAATATGTTTGTTCTTATACCTTTTTTTTTTCCAAAAAGGAAAAAAGGAAAGAGGGGGGTTGGACGGAAGTTGGATTATGATCCGTTATTTGACCCAACCGGCACATTTGTAACCTTTACCTGAAAACATCAAGGCAATGAAGTCCACCAAGGTCTCCCAACGGATCAAAAGAAGTAGAACGTCCCATGGAAGACTTGAATTTGTTCAAGTCACTCTGCGTCAATGGCTCATCAGTTGGCATCAATGGATCAAAGAACCTTAAAGCTAACCTTGCTACAATACCTTTCTCATCAGGCATTTCAGATTGAATCCCATACAACCGATCAAGTATAAATAGTGGAATTTGATTCTCAATCATAATCATATCTCTCTGAATAGAATGCATCGATCCTCGCATCGCGAAAATCGGATCATTCCTCGCATAACCAAAATGCGTGAATCCACCAGCAACTCCACGAAACAGCTCAAGAACAAAACAACTGTCAAGAACCATCATTTCAACAAACTCATTGCTGCTCATTGTAATATTCCCTTCATAACAAGCGCGTGCTTTCTCTTCAAGCTCTCTTACTGCATCAAAATACAGTTTAATTTCTTGATTCGTCCGCTTGAGGATATGGTAAACGGCTCGCCATTTATGGCGATCCATATTGCGTAGGCGTCTTTTACCATGGTGATAAGGACCAAGAGAAACAATTTGAGGAATATAAGCTTTATCATCATCTTTACGCAAGCTTAAGGGGACTCTGTATATTGAGAGTTTAGCCCATGATCCAGCATCATTATCCTGTTTAGCTTGCTCTAATTTCTCCTTAATGCTAATTACCCATTCCGATTCTGGTGATTTAGGGCCCTCTTCTATAATAGGAGCATTTTCCTCAATTGTAACTTTCAAAGAATCAGATGGCTGATGTTGTTCTTTATGCAACAGGGGCAGTTGCTGTTGTTGTTGTAAGGGCACTTCTGGAAATTCAATGGATCTGCTGGTGGTAGGAGTAGGAGCATTTTGTAGACCAGCATCAACTGTTTCTTTGAGCTTGAGGGTAATGAGGTACCAACTCAAAAGATCTTTGTTGAATACTGCAACCATTTTTGGCTTGCTTTCTTCAAAAGATAGGAGTTTGGATCATTCTATTAAAGCAAGAAGAATGCTTTGTTGGATTGTTTATTACTTTTAAGGCAACTTTAGCTTGTAAGTAACATGTCGTTTTCCTTATAATGTGAATAGAAAGTGATGATTGTAGGATGTTGAAGTTGACCTAATCTAACTGGGGAAAATGCTGCCTAATGGCCCATTCTTCACTATTTTAAATGAACTGTTGTTCACGTTTTTTGCCTAAAAAATTAATATGATCTTCAACACTCTGTTATCAGCTCTATAGTTTGTAATTTTTTTTTTTTTGGAATCCCAAGAAAATTACAGACGCTACAGCCTCTGTCATTCGGGTGAGCACTTTGTGGTGAGCACTTTGTGCGCACTGGGTAAATCCCTCATTGTGTAATAGCTTGCAAACCACACAGAAGATGTAAACCGCACTAGGCAAGCCCTGTGTGACAGGCTTAGACCCAGAAGGCATTGAGAGTGAATCGATCTCAGGTCATCACTATGGATTAGTAATTATTTTCCTGATGTCAAAGGTCATATTATTAATTGAAAGAATTACAAGAAAATATATATGACTTCACACCATAATAAAAAATAGCCCATATTTTTAAGTTTTACCCCACCTAGCCCACATTGTACATATTTTGAAAGTACTTGCAAATTCAAAATCTTCATTCTTACAACCATTGATTCTAAAAGCTATGGAGTTAATTCTTTGTTCTCACAACCATTGCTTTCGCTCTCTCTTCTTCTCACATCTTCTACATATGCTTCAAGGGCCGTGTATTTTCTGTTTCTCCTCTTATGTCACCTGCTTGCAATGTAAGAAAATTGAAGAGTAGAAGTCCACCATTGAAGACCATTCAAAGCTTTGCTTTTGAAAATGTTTTTTTTTTTGAATTTGTTAGTTGTTTGGATTGGGTGTTGTTCCAATTGATTGAAAATATCAAAAGAAGTACAAAATTTAAATTTGAAGTGATTTGGAGTAGATTTGAGCAAGATTTGAGTTAAATTTCAGAAAAGGAATAAGGAAGAAGACAAAGTCAGTATTTTGTATAATTATGTATAATCTTGTATAATAGTGTATATGAGTGTAGAAACACACCTTATATGCTATTATACACTTTTATACACTTTTATACAAGCGTCTGTAGACGAACTTCTTCCATGATTTTCAGTTGCAATTCTCGTTCAAAACCAGTCCAAATTTCCATTAAATGACTTCAAATTTTATATACAACCTCCTTATACCATTTCTAACAAATCTAAATAACACCCACTCCAAATTTCTCACAAAATCAAATTCAAAATTTAAACCCACATATTTAAACTTGTTAAAAATCTAATTTTCACCACCCAAATGAATTTGGTTTGTTGAACTAATATTTGAGTTACAGTTACTGATTCGAAAATTAATTTAAAAGCTTGAGGAATCTTTTTTAAAAATTAAATAGTAATTTTGAGAACCTATTTGAATTGGATGTTGAATCTTAGCCTATTATTTTTGGACTAGTTAGTTATAAATTGAAATATGAGTTATAAAATTTAAAAAATATGGAGCTCAATTATTCTTATGTGAAATTTTCCCTTATTAATTTGGTGATGCTGCAAACGTACACCAAAAAACTACAAATTTTTAGGTAGATATTAATCTTTTAGCAAAAAGTAAACAAGAAAGAAATTAGTATTAAACTACAAGGGTCACATCTGCCTTAATCTATTTGACCCACCAATTATGGTGTGAAAGAAGAAAAATGAATTAGCACATGATGCAATTTTGAGAAAAAAATGCAGTGGCCAGTATTTGCTAAAACCAGCTGTTGACAGTTCAGATATACGACCCATTTAGCCTTAGTTATATCATTTTCATCCAACCTGATCACCTCTTGATCAAGAGAAAATGTCTGAGAAATTTCTCTTTTTATAATTTTCCATATTCGATCACGTTCTAATTTGTCAACAGACAAAATCAAGGATATATAATTGGAGTTTTGGTTACATCTGAACATGATGTTTTAAATACTTCACTATTGAAACTATAATTGAAAGGAATTTGTGAAATCCAATTAAATTGTACTTGGACAACTGTAGTTTTTGAATTCTTTTAGCAAAAATTTTAAGATTCACTCACTATAAAGATGCAGATAGCGACTTAAAAAGAAAGGTTGAGCTTGAGGGAAAAATAATTCCACAAACAAACGCCTACCATAAAAAGCAACCAACAAGCTTACAGTAAAACTAGGAGCATAATCCTGTAGAAAGGACTGACATAGCTTTTAGATTCTCTTGACAAGCAATGAGCAACTAAATTTGCTTGCCTCTAAATCCAAACCAGAGAAATATTAGCATTTCTCTTTAACAAAAAACGACAGTCCGCTCTAAAAACACTTCAAAATAGAATCTTCACTCTTCACTCTTCACTTAATAAGTTACAAAAAGCACAAATTCCTAGGCATCACATTCAAGAATACCTAGGCCATCAAAATGTTGAACCAACTAGGTGAGAGCAAAACTTAAACTCATAATTTCAGTAATATTTAACGTTGACACAATCTCAAAAAACTGAAGAAGCTGCAGCTACAAACTTACCAGCTGAATCA